ACACCAGCCAAACAACTTTCACAATGAAGACTGTGTTCACACTCTTGGGTTCCTTCAAGGCCACAAGTATGAGTGGAACGACGTGAATTGCACAGACTGCCGCGGATTCACTTGCCAGAAAGGTTAGGATACGATTGCTTAAAATTGATGGTTTTACACTGAAAAAATGTAGCAGATGTAGTCAAATATTTCGAAATTTCAGTATTTTAAACATTTAGTTCATCATTTCTGCATTCTTTAAGGGTGCAGACCCTACCGAAATGTGTGTAACTTGTTTCTTAGAATGAATATTTAAACTTTTACTGATGAATTGGAGGAAATTCAAAAGAAACTCACGTGCTTACTTGAGAGCGTAAAAGCTGAATTTTGACTTGGATCAAATGTTGACTAGTGAGCACGAGAAATTCTCTCAGTTATTGCCAAATGCCGTTTTGATCATAAATTATATATACAATTTCTGCCTAATCGCTGCAATAAAAGCTAAAAAGCTATACAGAAGAAAAAAAAAAGTTGGAGTAAGCGCTGCAGCTTTTGGGCCGAACTCGGTCTTCTCCTATGTCGAGGAAATATTGTTTTAGAAAATAATATTACGTATCTAACACCGGCGCGCATAGTACCTTCCTCTCCATCGAATACTGAATTCGTCAATCGTGCACCGTGTTGTTTGGTAAACTGACCATTCCCTTGATGGGTTGGTTGTAGCACGTTCGCCATTTACTTTTGAATCCATCGTTGACGCACTCTTGCTCCCGAAAGGACGTTCGCGCCTAAAATTATGTTCCAACGTACAGATTAAAAAACAAAACAAAACAACAAACAACAACAACAAACCTGCCATGCAGTAAGGCAAAGATCAACTTTGGCCCAAAAAAGAAAAAAAAAAAGAAATAAAAATATGAAGGTCACCCTGCTTGAAATAAGCCGCATTGAAGGCTATATGTGTTTTTAGAAGCTTTTGTTATTTTAAGGTGATCTTAACGTACGACTATCAGCAATAAAGGAAGCTATATTAGTGAAGCTTACATCAGGTAATTTCCCTCCTTGGGGCGGAGTAGGTCTTGCAAACAAATGCATATTAGTCTTGCCAGTTTACATTCGA